ATCAAGCATTTGCACATAATTGGTCAGTTAGACATGAGATGGAATGTGGCTAGAACAATGATCATAGAGTATAATTACTTTCAAAACAATAAATAAAAAATATACATAAAAAACAATACATTTAGTACTTATGCATGCATCTTGTACTTTTTTGCACTTGAAGCCTCAATAAAAGTTAACCCTAATTTCTGATACAGTTGTTGTTAGTACATTGCTGAATTTTTATTTCAAATATCCAATTCAGAACACAAAGTAACAATAAGGACAAAGAATACAATGTCCTTTAACTATTATAATTTAACTGCTTTCTAACTAAACTGTAAGTGCATTAAAACAAATCCCTTGCCATATTTGAAGTGAACTCAGAGATAGCAACTTTTAATCTGTATGCCAAATAATTCAAAAGCTGTCATTAGAACAGGTTAACATTATATGTAATTTGGGAAATTAAAATATTCTCTTTCTATTGATCATATATAATGTAATGACAAATATCAGAGAGAATTATTGACATTTTTTGAAAGACAGTATGTGATAGGTGGGTATAAAATGTAGATTTAACTTTCTAGTTTTTAATCTCTGTAAACTAAGATCAATGGAGGCTATAAAATTTCATTATCTCTGCAATATCTAAACTATAAGTTTGCAATTTGTATTTAAATTCAGTAACTGAAATATAGGTGGAAAGAACATTTAAATGACAACTTGAAGTGATCAAGTGTTACATGATGCATAGGAGTGAAGATTGAGAATTTAAATATTACTTCAAATATTAATTAAGAAATTAAAACTTAGATACTAAAACTTGATTTTTAACTAAATTTGAATGCCAATTTCACTGACATAAATTATAATAAAGTCATCTCATTAAGTTTTGAATATAACTATAAAACATTATATACACACTTTAACCCTCACCCGTACACACAGGATTAAGCACTCATCTCTAGTAGCCAGCAGCCTGTAAAATGAAGTTATAAACTTCTTAGACTTATATTCAATATTTATTTAAATACAACTAAAATAATATTTGCCCTACCAGTAACAACAGCACACTGACTGGTTGGCTTAAGAGACAAAACAACCAAAACATCAAGATCCCTTTCTTAGATAAAACTGTTAAATTATAATTTATTATAACCCACATCCACTAAGATACAAACAGTATTTTATGATGATTAAAATAGTCAAAAGCTCTATGCAATACTATAGCATCTTGATACAATTTGAAATACCCATAAATGTAATATAATCTACAAACTCAATTTACTAATTATTCGTTTATCACCATCATTAATGGAAATAAACATCAAAGAACCTAGAACTAAACTTTAAGGTAAACCATTTGTAACATTAACTCCCTATATGTAGGCTTGGTCATTTTGACTAACCTTTTAACTATCGTGTAACCATGAAACTATACACAACTTTTAATGTAGTATGAGTATCTTTACAAAACTAAGGAAACATTTAGTAAACATTTAAAAGTCTTTCGTACACAAAAAATCAATTTTCAATTGAATATTTTTACTAGATTTGTCTAGTAATCTATGAAACCAGAGTCTGACTCAGGCTTTCACTAGTCTGAATGCAGGATGATTTTCATGTTAATATTAACCCTATCCACATGGGTTGCGGGTCAAAGGCCATGTGATCACATCAAATTTTGACTCGCATTCAAAATTTTATTGAACTACTATTTTATGAATTTATGTCAATAAGTTTGATATCAAATTGTAGATTATAATTCAAATTTTAGTATTATACATTAGTTAATTTCTTAATTTAATATTAATAAAAACACCTAAATATCAACTTTTGTGTCATATGGTATGTTGAATGCAGCATTGGTTTAAATTAGATGTTTGTGATGTCCAAATACAAAGTCTATAGTTCCTTACAAACTAGCAACTCAAATTACCAATATTGACAAGCTAGAATATAAAATAAGAACCTTCTATCTTTTCTATATGCTGAGATATCACTACATTTACTGAATCAAACACAGTAGCCCCGCTCTCCTCTTCAGTTTTTGCTTAAGTACGCCAATGACGTGTATAAGCAATCGAAAGCTCAGATGTCCCCCTAGTGGCTTTCTCAGCCTCTTTTAGGTATTTGGAATGCAAACTCATTCTTGTAATGCTAGATTCCAAGTGGTAAGGTAAGACGTTAGCAAGCTCATAATTTCATATTTTTTACACCCAAATACAGCTAAGTTACTAAGCTTCATAAATGATTTGTGAGGCTTTTGTATGCAAAATATCAGATTTTTTTATTAACTTTTAAGATTTTTTAAGTAATGTTTTTCTCGTGCCTTTTTTCTTTCCAACTGTTGACTATCCAACATGGAAAGTAATTTTGATCTTAAGATTAAAAATACTTTATGCATCAGAAAATTTTACATGTGAAATCTTTATAACCTCCAGATAAGTATCAAATGTTTTTTAAGAAAAAACTTTATATTTTGTGTTATTTTCACTATCTAATCTCTGTACAGGTTTGGTCGATTTGACTGACCTCATAACCACCATAAAAAGTAAGGAAATAAATATAAATTATGCTTTTTTGTTGTAGAACGACAACAAATTATAACATCAAAACATAAATGTTTAGACTAAATAGCTTAAATCTCGTAACATTATACGTTTATATATATTTATTATTTTTGTTATATTGACCTTTCAGCCATGCCTGGCTAATATTACAGATGTTGCAATGGTGCGGTGCATGTGCACTCATGTTACGTTATCCAAGAATATAAAACTGGCCTTTACAAAGTGACCTGTTTTGGCTTTATTTTAGTGGACTAGTGATGTGTAAAATATAGTTACATTTCAGTTATAGTGCATTATATATGTATATATATTATTGCTGTAGGTTGCCAAACCTTGTCATATTTCGCACATGGAGGATGTGAAGCGAAAAAAAAATTTTTTTTTGGTTTATATATATATATATACATTCTGAAATAAACAAAAATCATAAATTACTAGATCAGTATCACATAATTCCACTTTTAAAAATGAAAAAAATATCTTTAGCTCTTTCAGCATGGGCTCGGTCCAACAAACGGACCTTGTAACCATTTTATGCTTGTTATAGTTTTCATGCTATAACTTTTAAAATTGTAAGCGTATCTTCACCAAATTTTGCAGATGATCAGTGAACGTTTCATTTGCATAACTTCTAGAACCTCCTAAATGAATATCAAAAGTTGTTTTTCTATAAAACTACATTTTTTCTGTTTTGACCAACCTTGAAACTACCACAAAATAAGAAACCTAATAAATCTAAAGTACCTTTTTATCTTTCTAGAATGACTGCATATTGTTACAGACAATCAAACACTTTTTATCTTTACAGCCAAATCTAATGTAATACAAATCTCTGGTCATTTAGATTTATTGATTATCTGCTAGTTAGGTTAGCACCAAAGTAAATTACCACAGTGGGGAAATTGCATGTAAACACAGCATCAAATCACTAGCATGCTTGGTCAAATTATAACCTTGTTCAAAGAGGCCTAGAACTTTCTATAAACTATGCGACACTGTAATGGAACAATACTCACTTAAGGTAATGAAAAAAATTCCAAAGATTCAAGTAACTCAGCATCAACAATACTACAGCAATTGAACCACACGCATACAACATATAACTCTTATGGAGTTATGCAACCAAACTTGTCAAACTATCACCTTTAAAATAATTACTTTTAACTCTCTTGTTATGAAAAGTAAATAATAATTAAATATTAAGTCACAAAATAAACTAAATAATAACACTTACACTAAACAGTCTTGTATATTTTTGCACAGTAGAAGTAATTTTCAGCACAAACAATATTACATTTCTAACAAGGACGTTGGCCTTTAGACATAGTGGATGCAGTAAATTTATAGGAGTTTAAGAAGGGCTTGATATATATTTTTTAACTTAAATCGTTCTGTCTTGATGGACCAATAGGTTCCTTATTGTCCTCAAAGTATGTTTTCTACTTTGGAAAGTGGGATAAAGTCCTGATGACCAGAAGGTTAGACAAAGCCTTTAACCCTATGTGCATGGGTTGGGGTCAAAATGTGCATGCCATGACCTTTTACAGAGTGTCATTTAACATGGTATCATACATTTGATGTCACAATTATCAATTAGTTATTTACTTTATATTGCTTATTTAGTGCTAGTTTATGTTAAAGGAGAGTAAATAATATAAAATGCAATTTACAAGGATACTGAAAAACTAAATATGCATCTGGGAAGTTCTAAAGGTTATGCAAAAATATTTTATTCTTCACATAAACATCACCATGCACTCCAACTTGTCAGCATACGAGTCAAATTGACATTGTTATTTCACAGTATCTTGAGTACAAATACATTTGTAACACATCCATTTTTTAATGTGCAATAGATTTGAACATTTTACTAAAAGCATGTCACCTTTCATGTTGATACACAAACATGGGCACCCACAGAAAGGGGCAAGAGGGGCCATTTACCCCATTAAATTTCATAAAAAATTGCATGTATTATAATGTAAAGTAAACATTGCAGTTAAACTAAATATTTTTGTATTAAAACTGTAAATTTGTTTACATTTAAGCACACATAACACATATTCTTTTAGTCCATTGACTTGCACTGTAAAAGCTGATCCTCTACATGTATGTTTTATCCCTCCTTGAAAATACTTCTGTGGGTGCCCATATAAACGAATTACATTCCTAATTATAGCCAACATTAATTCTCCAATACGACATAGGTTCATACTTGAATCAAAGGACCGTGCCCATGTACATTCACTGATGATTCAATTAATTTATATCAACTGGACGGTAATTTTTAGGTTTTAGAAGTGAATTTGGATGTTACATTGATCACATTTTCATCTATTTCAACCAAATATTCATTAAGTTTGTATTTTAAGTTTCTTAACAACAGCAGTTATGAAGGAGTAGAGTAGCCTTAATCAAGTTAATGTTGTTACTCCTTATTCCTACCTTCTGACAAGTTATCATCTTCAATGCCCTCTTGACGCATACGAATTTTCTCTGGAAAATATTTTTTGATCAATTTCCATCGTTTCGTATCTATTAGTTTATTTTCTCTAGTTGCTCTTCTCGCCCAAGTTGAAATCCTTATTCTGCACATTGGACACGTAAAATTTGCCTCCTGAACATTCTGTTTAAAACATGGCATACAAAGTTCATGTTTACATGGCATAGTAACCGGTTCAATAAGAATTGATAAACAGATCGGACACATTACATCTGAAAGTAAAAGTTTTTTCTCCTTTTTCTTTTTCACTGACTTTTCATTTTTGTGTCTTTTCTCATTGACTAACCTGTCAGGTGATGTGTCCTTACTTGTTGACGCCATTTTCTTATTCCCGCTATACTAAAATTCGAACTCTGCGCCCTCTGAAGTAAAATAATGGCGTAAGATTCTAAATTTGGCTGTCCAAGAAATTGCGATATAATATCACTATTTTCTCGCGAATTTAAAAATATTCGGCAATTTGTTTTCTGTTCTGCTAAAACCACTGAAAAAGTGTAAATTGTTCGCAATTTTATTAGAAGCATTGCTTCATGAAACTAATCCCACGTTATCGTGAAACTCATAAACTGTGCTCAACTAATAAAATTATAAATTTGTTTGTCTGTTTGTTTGAAGTTAAGCACAAACTACACAATGGGCTATCTGTGCTCTGCCTACCACGGGTATCGAAAACCGTTTTTGTAGAGTTGTAAGTCAGCAGACATATCGCTGTGCCACTGGGAGGAAAAATTATAAATAAAACAAAGATTTGCAAAGCAAAATTGTCATGTAACATTCAATAAAACTTTAATTAAACTTACATGTTGATCTAAAGCATAAAATATTTATCATTCTGTATGAGAAATGTTTAACCTAAACATAAATTACATGGTTATGTTTTAGACAAATTCAAGATTTTAATGCATTTGTTTATTATTGTTAAACACAAAGCTACACAACGAGTTATCAGCGCTGTGCCCACCATGGGTATGAAACCCAGGTTTTAATGTCATAAGTCTACAGAATTGCCGCTGATCCACTGTAAGGTGTGAGGTATTTTAATGTGCTTTACAAGTTTTATTGCTCGTTACAGTAATGACAGTTAAATCAAGTAAAATTAAAGCAAAATATTGGCTATTATTGCCCCTGCATATTTAATTTAGTATAGCTATAAATAATCAAGCTTAATGCTATATTTTTCTGGGAAAACATTATACTTTTATGTGAAGGGTTTCATAACTCCACACCAATTCTTCAATTTTTTTTTCATGGTAAAACTGTAAATGTGTAGAACGGTTTGTCTTATGCTATTAATGCATATGCGCTGTGAGCTTGAATTCGTTCAAATTGTAATAGTCGTATAAAAACGTTTTAGATCGCTGATGATGGAATGTGGGAACTCCGAAACATACGAAGATTAAACATGTTGCTTTGTTTTACCGAGGGGTTCCTATTTTTAATCGGACTTTGTTGAAATTGGTTTGTAAAAATGAGTAAAGGTGAACTTTGCTTTTTAATTGCTGTTTTTTTATATTTTCTTTTTGTTATGTTCTGTTCGCGTGCGAAGCTACTCGGTGGATATCTGTTCTAGCCAATCCTAATTTCGAAGTGATAAACTAAAGGGAGAGCAGGTAGTCAACAACTCCCTCCGCCAACTATTGGGTTACTTTTTACCAATGAATTATGGGATTAACTCTTACATTATAACGCTCCCATAGCCGAAAGAGCAAAATTATTCGGCGATACGTATCAAGAGCCCTAGTCATCAGGCCAATTAACGTTATTCTAATGGTCCATCAATGTTACAAGTGATATATTTGCTACATTTATTAGGTACTGCTCTGATAAATCGCTTTAAATATGTGGAATTATAAACTAAAATTTTATTTTGTAATAAAAGGCCGAAAGAAAAAATTCGATGTTTTGTTTTCATTCAAATTGAATAATTTCGTATAATTTGAGTAAAGGTATGTAGTACTTGAATAAACCATGGAGAATAGAGTCTTTGGTCGAGAGTTCAAGCATAGATTTGAAATCAAACTTAGAAAATCCATGAACAAGAATGTTTTTAGCGAAGAGATTGGAAAGTGCAATATTAATAGTTTCGTCCAGGGGAGTGTTAGTAAACAGAGAAGTAATATCGAAGTTAGCCATCACGTGGTCTTTAAGGTGGGGAGAGGGGAGTTGACTGATGTCTCAGGAAAATTAGAAGGAGTCAGGTGTTGTAAATTCGTTCATAGTGAAAGGTTTTAAGATGGGTACAAGGAATTTAGCTACGTTATAACTGTGAGTGCCTAAGGCGGAAAGTATAGCTCGGAGGGGGGGTGTCTGGTTTGTGAACCTTCGGCAGACCATATAATATTCCAGGTTGGGAGCCTGTGGGATATAAATTATTGTGAACACAATCAGAAATAATATTTATTTTGCTTAGGTTTCTAAGAAATCTCTGAGTTTTTCCCTTCAAGTTGTAAAGTATGGGTTAATGGTTCCTTGTTTATAAGTTTGAATTTGTTGCGGTCGTTAAGAATGTCAAGCATTTTCTAAACATAGTCAACTTTAATTATAGTCATCTTTGTTGAAGATAACAACTCCATTTCCTTTGTCCGGTCGGATGATGATAATATTTTTGTTTCGGGAGAGTTCTTAGATAGCTGCCAGCTCTTCAGATTTCAGATTTGAGGATACCCAGCGTGTGTTATAGTCCAATTTTTCAATAGTCTTGTTGGATTTAAGACAATCATTTCCGTATCGCCGTATAAACGAATTGAATTATGAGTTGAATGCTTCATAGCGACGTTTTCGGCCGTAATTAAAACCGTGTCTATATTTGTTGTGTAAAGCTATTCGAGAACTATCTTTGGTAGCTGTCCCTAATTTTGAAGTGACAGACCAGAGGGAAAGCGGCTAGTAAACACCATCTACTGTCAACTCAATAATAGGATTGAGCAACACATCATAATTATCCCACGTCTGAAAGGACGAGCGTATTCGGTAACAGTGTTCGATCCCGCGACTCGCAGATTATTAGTCGAGTGCCCTACTGTGGCTATAAATTGGTCACATTTCCAAGGCAATCAAACCTAAATTTTGATTTCTGTGTCAGAATAAAAGTCAAACTTAAAACTAATTATTGTTATTTTAGTAGTATTTATTTAAAATAAAAATGAAGTACAAAATTAATTCTATAATTAATCCAAAAATCTATTTATTAAGAGAAAAAAATCAAAATCAACCACTGCTTTATATTCTGCAATTTTATTCAAAATAATGAAGGTATACTTTATGTTTTAAAATTACATTGTGTGGGCTGTCTGCTGTATTTACCACGGGGAATAGAACCCCAGATTTTAGGGTTGTAAGTCCGTAAACTTACCGCTTTCCCACTGGAGGACAAGTACAGTAAAAGGCGCCCCCCAGTGGTAAAACGGAGTGAGGTTATTTGCATTATTTTACAATAGTGGTTTTGCCTTGTCTAAACAAAAATATTATACATTCCAATTACCCTTTCACTCAGCCTTTTACTGTTTGTTTGTTTGTTTGTAATTAAGCACAAAGCTACGCAATGGACTATCTGTGCTCTGCCCACCACGGGTATCGAAACCCGGATTCTAGCGTTGTAAGTCCGCAGACATACCGCTGTGTTTCTACAAATCAAGCATCTGACATCCGTTATTTGATCACAAGTATTTATTTACACAATCTACACTCGTGAATGAGCATTTGTTAGAAACTGGTTTACATCTTTGCAGTCCATAATTCATGTCAGTAGTAAGTATGATCACACAGCCTAGCGTCTGTACAATTAAAATTAGTGTTTATATGGTTCTGAGAAACTTTCAGCGGTTTCCAGAACATATTTAATGTCTGGAAATAGCTGACGGAATCTGAAACTGTGATGATAGGAAAAATCATCATATTTACCCTTACATCACTACATTATTACTAATGTTTTATATGCAGTTAACAACCTCCTTTAAACCAGTTAAAGATTTAATAGGCTTACATTTGCTTGGTCCTGTTTCTTTGTCACGCCCTACTGTATTGGGGTTATATTCATTGCAAGGGGTGCTACAGGGACTTGTACATGTTATTACAAGTTGGAATTAATCTCCTTCGGCTGTGTTTAATGGGGATGGTCACTCAAACAAGTAACCTAAAGATTGTGGGATACCACACTAAGACTCTCGTTTGACTTAACACTATAGTACTTTCATTATTCTTGTTCTGGTCCCTGTCCTAGATAAATGTTTTTAGAAACCTTCTCTCTGACCTCCAGTCAGCAAAGTTATTATAAAAAACAGAAGCCAGCCAGTAGATAATAGACACATTTTATGGCAAATATTTTTTTTATTTGTGTGTTCACTTATGTTACTTGTTTTTATTTTGCTGCCCGTGTTCATTTTATTTTCTGCGTAATAGTTCCGAAATTTAGATTTGCTGATAATTAGTGATAGCACGTTTAGCCTGAAGTCAGGCTAATTACACTAGCATATGGTAGTTTAAAGAGTCGTAGGATGTGTTCTTATAATAATATGTAGTGTTAAATGGCACCATTGCACATAATATGGAGCTCCATATGTTAATTATTGCGTATTCCATTCTTTTCCCCACCATGATTCCTCCGCTGTCATGTGCATCACATTTCTATGTAAAAATGGAGCTTAGCCAGGATACAAGTTATCCTTAAATGAGCATACACCTGTTACCTAGCTGCAAGATGAATTATGGCTTATCTGTAAAAATAATATTGATGTATATGTAATTTGTCATCAGGATTTTTCTTGGCATGTTTGAAGGCAACCTATTTCGCACCTCGCTGAGAATATAATGCACCTCATTAGTCGTATGGCTTCACGCCAGCCTTGAAAAGTTTGTTTCTTGTCATCTTACACTAGCATTACGTCCAGTTGTGGCTGTAAAAATTTGAATGTAGATGACAAAATTGACAAATAGCAGTCAACTGCATATGTTTTGGGTGACAGTCTGCTTTGTCCAGCAACTTTACATTGGTTTGTATATTTGAAAAAAATATTTTGTGATGCAACTTGTATTGCCTTTCAAGGCAGAAATCCTTTTTGCTTATATTGTGTACTAATGACTGTACGTGTGAACAGCTTTTATTATTGGTCATTGTGTTTATGGATATTCAAATGTTACTGAATTTTGTTTAGTGTGGCTGGGATATGACTTGTTTCAAGTCTCTTTCTGAATGTTTTTGGTTCCCCATATTTTTTAAAATTTTCCAATCAAAATGTGAAAAATCTCATAACTCAAACATCTAATGAACAATGATGTGATTCGAAATGCAAATTATTAGACAATAGCCTTTGCTGTATTCATAGGTTGAATACAT